GGGGGGGGGGGTGCAAACCCAGCTTGTGACCATACGTGTGGCCACGTGGGACTCCACGTGGTGGTTGGGGTTTGATGATTAAGTATGGGATACGCTGGCTTTGGTTGGTCTAAATTTTACTCTGAGGCTACTCTGATGAGGTTCGGTGAGTCTCGGGTGCAAGGTATCCGACATGGCTGGCGACCGGTGCCAGACTAGTGGACTCACGGTGGACTGCGAGTCAGGACAGCGCCTCGCGCGCCGCAGACCTGCCCCCCGGGATTGCTGATCTAAGGAAAACAGTCCGCTGCGCCGCGGCTTTGCGCAGGTGCTGCGCCAGCCGTTCCGCCACTCGAGTTGGGTTACGACCAAGAACAGTGTTACACCTGGTAGCACATTGTGGTGTTTAAAAGTTGCATCTGCATAGAAAATTCACAAAAAGGGCAGACATCTAAGTGTGAGCAAGTCGCGTTTAGGGTAACCGCTCCTCGCCGACGAGAAGTGCGACGGCGTGGTTGCGCCCTTGTGCTGGGCCCAGGCCGGCCTTTCACCGGCCGCAGCGCCGCCGCCGCAGCAGCAGCAGCGGCAGGTCTGCCAAACGGAACTGCTAACGCCCAGAGTGAAATGGCAGAGAGATTATAGCAAAGGATAGGCCGACATCCGACTTCTCCTCCTTCTCAACGTCGCACGACTCTCTGCAAAGTAAAATAATTCGCACCTTGTTGAGTCTGCAGCCGCTACATAGCAGCATGAGAGCAGCCAGCGAGTCTGTTGGATGATGTGTCGGGCGCGTGGGAAGGGAAGGCGTTTCGCGGGCTCATCACAACACTCGCCAGGTGCGTATGCGTGCGTGTGTGTGTGTGAGAGAGAGAGAGAGGGGGGGGGGAGGCACTGTAACACGACAGGACCGTTCTGCAAAGGAGCAAGTACGCTGGCCGATCGCCAGAGCTACAATACCAAACAAATATCGGGGAGAGCAATCCATCAACCCAGTTCGTATCGGCAATCAGGCGTCTTCCCCCCTCCGCTGCTCCAACAACACACACACATATGTGCGAGCAGTTCGGCCCCAACATGTGGGTCACTGACCCCCCCCCCCCCCCCCCCCTTCCCATCGCGGTGTCACCAGCTGGCCCATGATAGCCGCCAGACCGTGTCAGGCTTCGCCAGAGTGCAGCTGCAGCCGTCCTGCATCGATGCTGTTCAATTATTCCACCGACGTATCTCCTCATCAGCTCCCCATCTCTGATCGCCTCTCGCAGGCCTCCCGCGGTCGATCGCGAAGGGGTTTACTCTACGATACAGTACGCGCACACACTAACATTGTCAACGGAAAGGCGTGAGACCAGCGTGACTTCGAATGGTATTCCGAGTTTTGTGGAAGCAAGTGCCCCTCCGCTCGGTCGGGGACTCGACGAGCGCGGCGGGGCTCGGTGCGCTCAACAACCTACACGGCTCAGCAGGCTCAGCCCCGCACTACACACGCACACGTCAGGCCCTTGTGTGTGTGTGTGGGAGTCGCCAAGGTTGCACGAGCCCTGTAAGGCAAATTTGAACAACATAACAGGCTGCATTCAAGAGCAGGGAAGCGTTTCTTTTGTGCACGGAGTTTGCCGACGACGCCACCGCGCTTCCCACGGCAGGCCTAACGCAAGGTAAAGCCTCCCGGACGGCCCACCTGGGCACGCCCCGCCACACCCAGCCACGCCCCGCCGGGGATGTTCCACCTGTGATTATATTCCATTCACAAAACTTGCCGTTCGTTGCCACGAATCACAAAAGAAACAATATTGCACGTAAAATTTGTACCACACCATCATTGACCGCACGTGTGCCAAAGCCAAATCCACTAATCCACATCTCAAAGGGACAAGGTACGACTCGTGTGCCAGTCACTTGGCCAGGTGGCTCGAGGGGGGCCTCATCTCTCTCGTAGTGTACACCAGATTGACAAGATAGACGAATATTTGTCTGTTGGGACATGAAACACCTGTGCACCTGTGACTCGGCAAAACGCACTAATTTCTCCCTGAATGTAGGTAAAACGCAGATGGCTCTTGAAAACGATTGCCTAGAGCTTGCCAAAGACTGGTCCTAGATTGCCAGGGTGGAGGGTGTTCATCAGATTGCTCACAGAGTTGAGGCCTCTCCGGCTCGGCGTCTCAAACATCAAGACCCGTGCGCAGACGGCGCGGCGGCAGCGCGACTCCACAGCAGGCGAGGTTCCCTCTCTCGCATAGCCCCGGAGGCGCCTCGCGAGTGGGAGGGAGAGCGTTTGTCGCACAATGAGGAGACCTTGAGTGATTTGGGCGTCGTCGACTTCTCTGCACCTGTTCGCGGGGCCGAGC